AAATCTTCACATAAATGTTAAACATAATTATTACAGTGTTATTATTACTCTTTTGGTGCTTCCCAGCAGAAAGGAGGTGTAGTTGATAGTTCTTTTAGTCTATTTAAACTATCAGTGAGTGTTGCACTGAACAACAGTGTCTGCCTCTTCTCTGGCAGTCTCTCAAATATGACACTCAAATCATCCTCAAAGCATTTCTCTAATAGCCTATCAGCTTCATCTAATACCTATAATTATGTAAGAAAGAGTAGAGTGATTTTCAGTTCTCTCCCTTCTTTGTTCAGCAAAATTCCATGTTCCATGCAAAATTCCATGTACATTCCATGTACAGGAACTTTGACCTGATTTTGGAGTAACTTTTAAAATTCATAAAAAATCCAAACTTGATTGGAATTAGCTCAAACTTTCTACGCAAAATAAGTACACGTATATGTATCAGAAAAAGTTATAAAACTCATAAATTCTCTCCTTTCCAATTTTGGCAAAATTTGGCCCAAGACCGTGTACCATAGTACAGGGACTTTGACCTGATTTTTGAGCAAACTTTAAAAATTCGTAAAAAAATCCAAATTTGATCGGAATCAGCACAAACTTTCTACACAACATAAGTACATGTGTATGTATCAGATAAAGTTATAAAAGTGGCAAATTCTCTCCTTTCCAATTTTGGCAAAATTTGGTCCGAGACCATGTACTATAGTACAGGGACTTTGACCTGATTTTGGAGTAACTTTTAAAATTCATAAAAAAAATCTAAACTTGATCGGAATCAGCTCAAACTTTCTACATAACATAAGTACATGTATATGCATCAGAAAAAGTTATAAAACTCATAAATTCTCTCCTTTTCAATTTTGGTGAAATTTGGCCCGAGACCATGTACTATAGTACAGGGACTTTGACCTGATTTTGAAGTAACTTCAAAAAATCCAAACTTGATCGGAATTAGCTCAAACTTTCTACACAACATAAGTACACGTATATGCATCAGATAAAATTATAAAAATGGCAAATTCTCTCCTTTTCAATTTTGGCAAAATTTGACCCGAGACCATGTACTATAGTACAGGGACTTTGACCAGATTTTGGAGTAACTTCAAAAATTCATAAAAAATCCAAACTTAATTGGAATCAGCTCAAACTTTCTACACAACATAAGTACACGTATATGTATCAGAAAAAGTTAAAAGACTCATAAATTCTCTCCTTTTCAATTTTGGTGAAATTTGGCTTGAGACCATGTACTATAGTACAGGGACTTTGACCTGATTTTGGAGTAATTAAAAAAATTCATAACAAATCCAAACTTGATTGGAATCAGCTCAAACTTTCTACACAAGATAAGTACATGTATATGCATCAGATAAAATAATAAAAATGACAATTTCTCTCCTTTTCAATTTTGGCGAAATTTGACCCGAGACCATGTACAGGGACTTTGACCTGATTTTGGAGCAACTTTAAAAATTCATAAAAAATCCAAACTTGAACGAAATCAGCTCAAACTTTCTACATAACATAAGTACATGTATATGCATCAGATAAATTTATAAAAATGGCGAATTCTCTCCTTTTAAATTTTGGCAAATTTGGCCCAAGACCATGTACTATAGTACAGAGACTTTGACCTGATTTTGGAGTAACTTTAAAATTCATTTTTAAAGAAACCAACTTAAAATTTCTACCAATGAACAAGATAGATACAGAGAGAGTAGCGATATACCAAATATTTAATTTTCTCCATAAAAACAGTATCAGTGCTTTGCAGGTGATCTGCCAGACGACCCGGAGTTGCCACAACAATGTGTGGTCGCCTTGACAATGCTAAAGCTTGAACCATCATGTCTAGCAAAAAATTATAACTTAATTGATCATTGACATTAAAGCTTACCAACTCCACCAACAATTACTTCACTTTTGACACCAATGTGCTTGCCGAGAACGCAAAACTGATCCGAAATTTGATAGGCAAGTTCCCTACTCACAATAAACATTTATTTCTATTTTATTTTTAATTAACCTAGTGGGCGTTAAAACTAATGCGTATATCCCGTAAGGATCACGTGACAGTGAGTGAAGTATAGGGAGAGCAAATGCAGCTGTCTTTCCACTGCCAGTCTTAGCAGAACCAATACAGTCCCTTCCTATACAAAGGGGAAATCATCTGACCAATCAGATAAGTCCAACCACGTGCAGTGTAGCTAGTACAGTAGTTTTCTGTGTATTCTTTACCTTCCATTATTGGCGGGATACAGTTCTTCTGTACTGGAGTAGCCTCTTTGAATCCAAGACCCTCACACTGTCTAACCAACCAACTTGATAGACCAAGAGAAGAGAACGTGCAAGAATCTGCCATTTTTAATATCCTAGTTATTATAGCTTATTAAAATATTTTAATTCTGTGAATTGTTATTATCATTAATTTATTTGCAATAATTATCATTAATATTTTCATTATTCAATTGTTCCCTGAATATTGACTCGAGAGTCTGTCGAATTCTTCTTCCTATGTATAATCATTAACAAAAGTAATGAGTCAATTATTATATTCAACTCTCTCTCTCTCTTCACTAACTTTGCTCTTGAATTGCTGCACATATAAATGCCCTCCATGACCATCCTTCAACTGAGCCATATACCTCTGACTAACCTGATCAAAGAGAAGCAAAAAGTAAAATAAAATGGCAAAAGAGGAAGGGAGGACTCACTGCTGATGGTTTTCCCAAGTGATGCGAAACAACAACTAAATTGACTAAAGTTTCTGGATTATTGCTATCCTAAAAATACACCAAATAATACAAATAATTTATGAATGCTATAAAGCTTAAACTTACCTTTGATAGTGCATCTTGTAGTGCACTCTCAGCTTCATCATATTTACCTTGACTAATCATACATACTGCCTACAGTACAGTAGATGACAAATTTATAAATAGAAAATAAATAAAGAGACATTCAAATTTATCTCCTTTTATAATCCCTACTTGTCCATTGAGGAGGAGTGGAGTGGGTGTGGTTTTATCAGCAAGCTCTTGGTAGATGTAGTAAGCATCTTGATACTTGTCTCCTCCTACGGCTAAATTGAACCAAGCAAGAGCTAACTGAGAGAGAGTTGCATCGTCGTCTTTCTCTTGCATGATTTTGAGCTCTTTCCTAACAGAGAATGCAAAAAAGAGAGAAAAATGAAGATTGTAATGAAGATCAAAAAACAAGATAAAAACAAAACAGAGGAGACAAGAAAAGGATGATTTTTGTTGGTACATACTTTGCTAAATCAAGTCTGTTCATTGATAGTAATATTTGTACTCTTAATGCTGCCCTGTGAACAAAGATAATGACAATAAAAAATTGTAATATTAAATAATTCCTCACCCTTCTAATGAATCCGACTGGTTGAGACATCGAAGGGCAGAATCAAAATTCTAAAAGTGAAAGAGAGAGAGAGAGAGAGCAAGATACATGTAGCAGGATGAGAAGGTTCTAGTGATATTCTCACTTCCTCTAGTAAGTAAATTGAGGCAGCAACAATTACAAAAGTATCATTATCAGCATCAACTCCACTGTTCACAGTTTTATCAAGATCCGATACTACCTTCGCTCTAAAAAATATTATAAAAATGGAAAATTCTCTACTTTCAATTTCTGGCAAAATTTGGCCAAATTCCCTGTACTATAGTACATGGTCCTTGGCCTGATTTTTGAGCAAATTTAAAAATTCATAAAATTCAAATTTTGATTGGAATCATCTTAAGTTTTCCACACAATAAAAGCACGTGTATATGTATGTCACAGAAAAAATGAATTATTTCCTTGTGATTTGTGTCAGAATATACTGCGAGTATTTATTTTCTCCCTCTACCTTCCTCCTGCTCCGCTAGCATTAAGATATTCAGCTAGCAAACGAACAGCCCTCACTTCAACAGGAGAACTCTTAGTCACCTCGCTAAGAACCACAGCATATTTACGCTACATATAAAAGAGATAGAGAGTGAAAGGAAATAGAAAAGGAGGTGCTACCTGAGCCAAATATGCTCTGTACATTAGTACATCTCTTTCTATTGCCACTGGAGCTGTTGGGGGCTAGAAAAAAGGACAGTCTATTCATGAAATTATAAATATATACTTTTATTTTTTGTGCTTCTGTTATGCAGTGCTGATAGTCTCCTATGAAGAAAGCATTTCTCACTTCAAAGAGAACATCTCTTTCCCTATTGGCCGCCATTGTTGTTAGTATCCGGAAATGTACTGCAATAAAATCCGCGGACTTAGTCCTTAATCCAACAAGTAATTTACAGTAAAGTATACGGAAAACACAGTTTAATTTACTAAAACGATCATTATAAAGAAATCTTCATTAACAATAGGAAAAAAAATTGCCAATAATAAACAATAGAATAATTGCCAATAATAATAACAATAGATAATAACAATATAGATATCATAAAGTTTATCACAAACACAGCAGGTACTGTATAATAATAATTACAATAATAATATAGAGCAGCAGCAGGAGCAGTTTATTAGTGCTATCAGAAACCTAGAGCTAAGACGTGGGGAGCATGTTACTAAGATTCAGCCTCAATGGCCTGCACATCTGGGAGATATCCTTCCCAGAGACGAATGAGCTAAGAAATAAGATGGCGAGTATTAAAAATTATATAAAAGACACTAAAATATGCATGTAAATCTATTTTAAAATTTATAACATTAAATAAAATGGGAACTCATTTTAAAATGTGTTTTAGAGGCTCTTACCTCCTCTTGCATGTGCATGAGAGCTTCTAAGTGTTCTAAAAACTTTGCCTTAAATTCCTTAGTACGGACCGTCTACAGCAGAATAAGGATAGAAGTAAAATAGGGTAAAGTAGAAAGCAGAATATAATTTACTTCAAAACGTTCTACTTCTCTTTTCAAAACTTTCGAGCATTTGTTAAAAGCCTTCTCGGCATCCTTCTCCTTTTGTTCCCACTAAAACAAAAAATTACATTAGTTAATAACTATTAATAACTGAACCACACCCACATCTTTTATCTCAGCCTGGACTATCGGGAGCTTGTCAGTTTTTCCTGTTGTTTGCATTTTAGCTTCAGAATCTCTCTTGCTCTGGAGGGTCTTCTGAGCATTAGTCCAAACACCATAATTCTTCACTCGTTGATTGAACGTCTCCTATTAATATCATATATGTAATTAAATAAAAAATTTAAACGAGTAGCTAATTTAATAAATAAAATTTATTATTAATTTTGTAACACTGTTACTTCATTAGCCATTTTAATTTATTGGTCCTTTTTAAACACACACATACACAATCGTTACTTACTCTTAAAGATCCCAAGAGTGCAACGTAATCACGAATGGTCTCCCCAAAGACATAAAGGTCAACGTTACTCTAAGCAAAGGTCACATGACAGTCACATGATATTAGCACTGTGTAGTAATACCTGTTCAGAGTGAAGGGACTCCACCTTCTCCTCTACTTCAGAGAGACGAGTCAGAGCACGTGAGACGGAATTGTTCTCTTCCACGTTAGCTACAGAAAAAAAGAGTGGGAGAGAGAGATAATAAAGATTAGGACATTAAAAATAAATAATCTTCTCACCTAGCATTGCCAAGTTCTTCACAAGACCAGCAGTACAACCACACAACTCTGATAATAAAATAAACATTAAAATAAAAACTTTTTTGCCTTCCTTCCATTACCTTTCCTAGCACTAATCATACTCTCAATACAGGAATGGAGTTTCTTTAGATGGGTATCAAGTGTTTCGTACTCAGACTGTCTATCGTCAAACCACTATGCAAAAAAAAGAAATTAAAGAAATGAATAAAAATGAAATAAATATAATTTTATTATTTCTTAAAATCTCACAGAGTCAACGTCTCCTTTCTTTCCAGCTATCTTAGAGAAAGTGTCGCCCACATTCTTAACGAGCCTCATCAGTCCAGCACCACTCATGGCAGAAGTGTCTTTGGCTTTGGGTAGCTATGGCAACAAACCACACCCATCAATACAAAAGCCGAGGTACTTACTTCTCCTGGGTTCTCAAGGAACATCTTAAAATCTTCATCTTTCCTGATGACTGGATGTATGGCTAATCTGTTCAAAAATCTAATAAAAAAGTAAAAATAAAGACTCTAAAATTTCCCTTTTATTCTGTACCTTTCAAGGTTAGCTCTTCTCCTTTGTATGAAAAGGGCGCTATTCTCCTCATTCTTTGAAAACTTGATCTTTGTCATGCCTAAGAGAAATATATCATGAATACACGAAAAGTGTGAATTTCATAAGAGAAAAAAGAGGAAAGTAAACACATTACCTGTAACACTTTTCTCAGGTGCTGGAGGGACTATGTATCCCATGCACATGAACTTCTCTGACAGACGATAGTAAAGTCCCAAGAAATCACTGAATCTCCTCCTGACAAAGACCTCTGGTTCTTTAAACGAGGGAAGAGTTGTTTTTGTTGTGACGAGATAAGTCATGTAAGCACCCATTCCATCACCTGATGGTTTTAGAAAGAGAAGAGGGAATATAATATATGAGTCGTGATTGAAAGTAACTCGCAAGGATTGTCAATAACTATCTCACAAACCATAAACTAAGCATCATTAAAGGCATTTCTATCGATAGTACTAAAGTATACCAGCTCAATCAAAAATTAACTGCTCTATTGTCCTTGCATGTACAATGTACTGTAGTGTATATCTGGCTACATGCATACATGTACAACAATGTTGTCTTTATCAACATGAGAGCATGTGTGCAATGCATGCAAAATGAATTAGAGAGTGAATGAGAGTTTTTGTATGCTAGATAAAGTGTTAAATAACAAAAAGTTAATTTAAACCACTAATACATATACATGTACATATTAATGTAAGGCCTTGACTTACCAACTTTCTCAGGTTCAGCTACAGTAATGGTCAGCTCATATTGATCAACATCCTCTTCTTCCTCCTCCTCCTCTTCCTCCTTGCTAGCAGGAGCCTCGGCTTCCTACAGTAATAAAAGATAATTTAAGAATGAAATATGTAATTAGTAACGTGCATATGTGTATTCTGTTAAGGAGCTAAGGAAGGTTTCCAGTTGCAACAAAACTCGATGCAGAATTGAAATCTGCATTATTTTGCATTTACTTCAAAACGTTATCTGCATTAAAAAGGTCATCATCCTGCTTTTTAACTCCAATGTAAATCTTCTTTTACAATACATTTATACGTACATATACTAGTACCAGGCCCGTAGCCAGGGGGGGTTCGGGGGGTTCGGACGAACCCCCTGTTGTAGCTGCAAAAAAGTTTTAGATTAGCTCCTGTCATGAAGAACAGCACTGCAAAAGCAGGATTAGCATTTTGGTAACAGCGAGAAGCACAGATAGCCATTTTAGCTGAGTCAGCACATGGCTGAGATGCGTAAATTAAGACCACGCCTACCGACCACGCCCATTTTCGTAAAAATTTTCGCTGCGCGCTTCGCGCGCAGCAATTTCCAAACCCCCTGTTTTAAGTTCCTGGCTACGGTCCTGAGTACATGTTAAGAATAAAACTCGTCAAACCTGTGTAACTGGTTTCTGCTTAGGCTCCTCCTCTCCTTCTTCGTCAAAGAGATCCCCTCCACTCGGAGCTGAGGTGGTGACTGGTTTCTCTGCAGCCGGAGGTACTTCCACTACTGGAGGAGGAGGCTCCGGATCATCGGGTTCCAGTGTTGGTGGCTCGCTGTCAGTGTGTGGGCGTTCAGTGGATGCAGGTGGAGCCTCTGTCTCCTCTTCCTCTCCAAAAAGATCTTCTAGAAAAAAGAAAAGATACAAATAAGGGGACACGCCCACTTTTGCAACAATCGCGCAGTGGGATTCTCACCTTCCTTTTTGGTTTCTTCCTTTTTCGCAGGCTCTGGCTCGTCTAATGATGGCTTGCCGAATATGTTATCCTCTGATAATTCGTCGTTATCATCTGGTGGAGGGCTAGCTTCAACATCCAGAGGAGGAGGTTCGTCGGCCATCTTGTGACACTGTGGATCACGTGAGCACGTTCTTAATGATATTCATCGAGTAACGACTAGGGCGTGTCCAATAACAATATTCATTACATTTTTGTCCACATTATGCTAAGAAATAAACACGAACACTTACAATGGTGCATAATTTACTCTAATATTTTAATTTACTCTAATATATATGGTTCATATCATTTACTGCCCATGCTAAAAAAATAAACATGTGCAAATGGTGCATAATTTTATAATTATTTTGCTGAAAAAAATATCCATTTATCAAAAAAAAAAAAACAAAAATATTCAATATCACACAATAGGAAAATACCATATACAATATACTAACAGTAAAACAGCAGCCAGCACATTATTATCTATTTTTTTACTACACTAGTGTCAAAAATTGTTTCTGTGCATTTGTATTTATAGTGCGTCATATTTGACCTCCTTCATTGGACTCTTGAACTTGTAGCATGTTACAAAATCAATAGTAACTTGACAACCGCCCTAATATTAAAAAAAGATAAAATTATTATTTATAAAAAATAAGAATATACATAATGTTATACAGGCAAGATGCCATCAGTTACAAACAGTATCACCTAGTTTATATACACAAAGGATATCTATGTGTAGTGTGTACATCTACAAAAATTTCCAAATTTAATTTAAGGTGTCTCATGTATGCATGTGCTATACTTATGGTTTTACTAGTAAGGAATTGATTATTAATTTCACACTATAACTGGATAATAATATCTGATAAAGATTACATATAGATGTGATAGTATCATGTCTATCAAAGCTTATTAGAAGATAAGAGAGTAGGTGTGTGATTGAAACTATGCTGGAATTAGACTTACAACAACGTATAGGAAGATGGCACCCCATAACTCGTGATTTGGAATAAGCTCTTTTCCTTTCTTCCCTCTAATGGCCTGGACCAAAACACCAACAGAAATATATAGAGCAACCACACCAAAGAAACTGAAAGAGAGAGAGAGATAAAGAGAGAGAGAGAGAGCAAAAAAGAGAGAGAAAGGTGTAAATAAAAAATAACTCTTTTTCTCTCTCACATTCCTATTAATATCCAGCCAACTATTGAGGGAGGTGATGAGCCTGATGGTGCTAAGGTAGGAGACAAAGAACCGCCATTGCAGGCACCAGAATAGTTAAATCGAACAATATACTATACAAGAAAAGTTGCACCATAAATGTATAGACACAATAAATACATAAAATATGAATGGGTAATATTAGGAGTAGCAGCCTATGACTTACCTCACAGTCTTTAAAAGTTGGTTCAGCTGTTATAAACTGAGTGATATTTCCAAGATTAATATCAGGATCAAAAGTCCAATTGGCATCTTTGTTGCATGTGAATACTAGTGTGGAGAAGAGACCGTCAGGACAGTCAGTTGTGTTAGTACCATGACCATATGTAATGGTGAAGCCATCACCACCATCATCTATTAAGAAATAGATTAAGTAATTTTTGCTATTGACACAATTACTTTCAAAAATCTTCTGGTCTTTGTCAAATTTTCCAAAACTAACACCGTTAGAGCCACTTTGACAGAAAGCTGAATTGTAGCACTGGCCATGTGGTATTTCTTTGCAGAAAGAAAACAAGAAACTGCAAGAGCCTTGACCAATAGAAGGATTATAACAGTCTTTGACTGGTACTGTGGCCGTCCAAGCATCAGGTCTAATAGTTATTATAACAGAATCAATTACAATAATAAGGAGGAAACTGTCACTTCACCACTTACTCTGAGAGTTTTTCAATGTCGTAGCCATCAAGTTGACAAAGCTGAGGATAGATTGGCTTTTGAGCAATACAGGCACCACTGTATTTTAGTGTCATAAGGTACTGTGAGGAAAAAAACGAGAGAGAAATGAAGTAAGGAGGAAATATAGAGAAAAGAGGAGACAGAATAGAAAGAAGGGGAGAGAGAGAGAAGGAGGGAGGAAAGGACGGAACATTACCAAGCATTCGTCACTAATGTCAGCAAGGAATCCTGTAAGAAATCGTGTGACATCAGGATCATATGCATCCCACTGTGCAGCTGGGTCACACTGAAACAAAACAACTGTCTCTGTTTGATTGCAATTTCCAACTGCGCTTCCATTTTGATAGATAAATTGAAATCCTAATGTACCATCTGCCAAAAGATAAATAATTGATAGTACTACTGTACTATGGTGGATCTACACACACGCAGGAATTTAACCTGAGGCAACCACACAATAATAATACAATTAATAGCACAGGAGAATGTGCAGGTAAGAGATTATATAACTTATCCGTTTCATTTTTTTGGCAATATTTTTATTTATTTGGCAAACTGACAAACCTTTGAAATTTTGCCATGTGAAATTTTAAGTCACCATTATAGCAGTATTATATTCAATGCTGGTAGCTTTGCTGGCAATAAATACCCCACTAACATTACGATTACTCCTTTAAAATAATACTTACTTGCTTCGTTAATGATAAGCGTCTGTTTACCAGTGTCGTGCTCAGAGCCAGGAACTGAATTAGTGATAACCTGACAGAAAGCAGTACTATCACTAGTGCTACTGCATGTATCAGGAGGCAGGGGACCACAGACTGAAAACTTGACAGTACAATGGTCGCCTGAAGAACCTCCAGCACATTGGGCTGCTTCAGATATGGTAGAATACCAGACTCGTTGTCTATAGAGAAAGGAGGAGGAGGAGGGTAGCTTATCATGATGTGCAATCATGTAGCACGAGGCTGTACTTTTTCAAGCTAGTCACATCATATACATCGTGCCCCCCGCATATCTCAACTTGTGAGGAAGCTTTTTCTAGTGAGAGAGAGACCAGCAAAATCAGGAGAACC